GGAAACCAGAGCGTCTTCGTTGGTGGTAGACTCTGGACCCTGCTACCACCCCCGGCAAGGTAAGAAGTTTTACATCTTTACAGATGGTTCACACACACACCCTCCCGCAGGAGGGTGAGAAATTAAGGTCCCGACCATGAGATGAAAATGATGAAGAAGAAGGGAAATGAAAATGAGGTGAAGATGACAATGAGATGAAAGTTACTTAACCAGGAGGCAAAGAGGGGAACGCAAAAGAAGAGGGAAGGAGGAAACACCAACACATGAAACCTAGCCCAAAACGGGCAACCCTGGAAAGGCAAGGGAAAAGAAAAGCGGAGGCCGACGGAAAACGGAACAAGACCAGCAGAGGAGGGGGAAGACAGAAGCGCCTGAACCAACCTGACACGGCGCAAACCAACAACAACCTCAGCACGCAACGGGCCAAACCTACCTGGAGGGAGGAGAACGCAAGAACACATGAAAAAGGAAGAAAAAGGGACCCATGGGGAACTAGTTACTGACATGATGCATCCACAACGCATGCAGTATTCGTGATAAGGCTCAAAGGCCCTCGGCTTTCATTTCACAACCCTCTGGACAGCTTACGTGTTCAACCCCTGAATTACTTGCACAATTGAACCTCACCAACGAACATAAAAGGAAAGAAGCACCATACCTGCAAGGATGTCCTGTTGCCTGAACATGAAAGAAAAGGTGAAGCCAGGCACAGCGGCACGTTGTTCAACACATCGACGTCGACAGGTGAGACCTGGAAAAAAGGCCAGCAGTTCACTTTACTTAGACGAATTACTAATTCAAAAGTGTAAATTCAGACATCGTTTTACTGTCCATTGTTAGCCTAGAAAGGCTTTCCCCGAAGGGTTCCTACCAACTTGACGTATGCAGCAGGAGAGACACACTTGCTCAGAAACATCTTATCGAATTGCTGATGTGGAATGCATCGCACGTGCACAAACACTTCATTTAAACCTGACAGGAGAAAGTGGATGACTAGGCGTGAGAAACAGTGAAGAAGGATTCTTTCTACGTCCTTGCTAGATGCAACTGTTCCATCTGACGAAGTCAGCAGTAAATGCTCAGAAACATCTTATCGGATTACTGATGTGGAATGCATCGCACGTGCACAAACACTTCAGTTGAACCTGACAGGAAATGGTGAATGACTGGGCGTGAGAAACAGTGTAGAGGAATTCTTTCTACGTCCTTGCTAGATGCAACTGTTCCATCTGACGAAGTCGGCAGTAATTCAGATTGCGAAAACCGTACAGGCAGTGAAATGAAACAGAATGATTTGGTTTTGGTTTGAAGCGATTTGAAAAAAGGAAATCGACACGGAGGTTCTAGGGTTGAGCCTCTTCCCATTCCAGAAAATTGGCAGGTACGCATGGTTGATCAGGCCATGTATCACCAGGGAAACCAGAGCGTCTTCGTTGGTGGTAGACTCTGGACCCTGCTACCACCCCCTGCAAGGTAAGAAGTTTTACATCTTTACAGATGGTTCACACACACACACACAGGAAGCATGGGGGAAAGGCAGGGGCAAACAAAAGTGAAGAGAGTGAAGGGATATAGACTTTAAACTGAAAACACCCGACATAGCCAAACAAACACATTGATGAGGATAGCAGAAGCCGGATCAAAAACACAAACAGAGCAAGCCCACACAACAACACAGAATTCATCACAATGCAGCAAGGACCCTCTTTGGGAAACACATCATAAGCACCAGACTGCAGAAGACTGGAGCTGTTCGCTGCTCATATACCCTCAGAACGCGCAACGTCCAACAACTGGCCAATTTCACTGTTAAGCACAGGAAACCTAACTGAATGTCAAAAAACGGAAAAACCACTGAGAGTGATTCTGCCTGCAAAAATCATTCGGTAACATTTAGCCTATTTCCACATTGAACCGAAAAGTCTGTCAACCATTGTCAACCAACATAATTCTAAGACCAAAGCCAGCGCCGAGAGTTTGCCCAGATCCAGAGGAGCTTGCAGTTTGCCCGCCACCTCCAAAAGTACCAGCGTCGCTTCCAGTGTTTCCACTTTGGGCTGTGGCTGTGGTGGAGGTAGTGCTAGCTCCCGATGAAATTGACGCACCATGTCCAGTACCTCGGGATCCTTTGCCATGTCCCTTCGAACTGCTTCCACGCCCATGTGATCTGCTTTGCGAAAACCCGTGGACATTCCCAGCAATAGTCCTTGGCCACGCATTGGGCTCAGCTGATTGATGAGAGGTTGCAAACGTAATCATTTGGGTCCGGTATGGCTCAAAAAAACTGGTGTGGATCTTTCCGCGGCGATCCGGACGTATGGAACAGGTGAGTTGCGTGTGTGCATATAAATATTTAATTATATATATATGTATATATATTGCCGCGATCCGAAACTTAGAATAAATCAAAAAGTGTAAACAATTAATTGGGGAGAACTTAGAATGCCCCCCAGTTAGAATGCCCCCCCTCAAACTTGGAATGACTCAGTACTCATATACCAAAATATCATGTGTGTACTACTTCAAAATGCAGGGAAAACCGAAGGAACATGATCCAGGATACTAAACTTAGAAGGTTTGATCCAGACCTATTGAGAAGGTATACTAAATTGGCCTGGTAGAAGTTCAACTTGACATTTTTGAGTATGGACGGTATGGATCAAAATGATCAAGGGTATGGGATCATAGCCGGTGTGGATCGGGGCTATGGATCGCCTATGGGTCATCGGTATGGATCAGGGCCTTACATTTTGAACCGCGGCCATTTCTTCAAAGCAAGTGCCACAACAGCTAGGAGGCGAAGTGCATCCAGTCTACATGCAGTTTACGCTCCAACTTACCTTTTTGCTCTTTGGCTACTCTTCGGCTGACGGTTAGCAACTCGTTAGCGACTCTTTGGCTTTGCAGGTTCTGAAGATTTCACTACTTTTCCTGGCGTGCGTGCGTGTGTCGGCCGTAAGACCCTATAGCTTCTGCCAACTTTCGCCAACATTACAGGCCTAAGAGTCAAGCAGAGCCAACCGTTAAATCCCACCTGAAATGAACTTCCGCGTGGGTTAGCCCCAAGAATTGTGGAAAATTGTGGTTACATTCGTTTATACCAGTAGTACGGCACCAGGCGGTGGCGAATCACGGATGGCAGAGCGAAGCCACTGATGGACCGAAAGGTGGTTGAGGTCTCCTCTCTTTCTCTATCTTTCTCTGACTATCTACCTGCCTACCTACCTATCTGTCTATGTATCTACCGATCTATCTTTCGATCTATCTCTCTCCCTTTCATCTAATTACCTATCTTATCTATCTATCTATCTATCTGTCTGTCTGTCTGTCTGTCTGTCTCTCTGTCTCTCTGTCTCTCTGTCTCTCTGTGTATCTGTCGATCTATCTATCTATCTCTCTCTCTCATCTGTCTCTGTCTATCTGTCTATCTGTCTATCTGCAAGCTTGAAAACAAAGCTATTCTACGAGACTTCCTGAATATTTGAACTTGACAACATCAAAAATGGAGCAATTCAGCGAGACTTCCTCAATTTTTGCATTTGACAACGTGCGAGACTTCCTCATTTTTCTAAGGTGACAACATCAAAAACGAAGCAATTCTGCGAGACGTCCTTCAAAAATGGAAAGTTGAGTGCAGAGCTGACAGCCTCGTACCAATGCGTTTTGCGATGTTTCCAGTCCACCTGTCTGGAGTACTGCGCTTGCCACGAAAAAGTGATGCCAGGCCATACGAGGCGCTGCACCTGTCACGCAAAATCATTTCAACAAACCTGAAGATCTGATGCTCCAAAATGCAACCCTTCTCAGGGAATCAGCGCCCGGACCTCCTAACAGCTCTGATGAACATGTCTCTTGTACTGCGCCTGCCACGGAAAATGGATCTTTGCAGATCCTCTTCAAATGTCCCACGCCTGCCATCGTTTTTGGACATGGTACAAAACCCTCACGTTTTGCTCACTTTTGACAAGGTCCACAATCCCTTGCGCCTGCCACGCGACACGACATCTGAACGTCCAAAAGTGGCCTGGACCTGGTGTGCTTTGTACATTTTGATCGAAATGTGCTTCGCGCAACAACGGCGTGCACTTTTTTGACATCTCAACTTCCAAAAGTGGTCCGGACCTGGTGTGCTTTGTACATTTTGACTGCGAAATGTGCTTCGCACCACAACGGCGTGCACTTTTTCGACATCTCAACTTCCAAAAGCGGTCCGACGATGAGGTGCTTTGTACATTTTGATCGAAATGTGCTTCGCGCCACAACGGCGTCCACTTTTTCGACATCTGAACTTCCAAAAGTGGTCCGGACCTGGTGGGTTTTGTACATTTTGACTTCGAAATGTGCTTCGCGCCGCAACGGCGTGCAATTTTTCATCTCTCATCTGGCCAGCTGGCTCCGCACCCGCCGCTTTAGCGAGCCTACTTTTCGACCCTCTGGAGCCACAAATCATTGGAAAACAGAGTGTTTCGCGACTTTCCTACCTTTTCGCGCACCTGCATCTTCTTTCTTCTGACTCTTTCTCTTCTCTGATCTTCTCTCTTCTGCTCTTCTCTCTTCTGCTCTTCTCTTCTCTATTCTTCTGCTCCACCCCTGCTTTTCATCTGCCCATATTGACGGACGTTTGACTTCTAAACTTCCTTCGTGTAGTACACATCTTCGATACAAGTATGAAGCAAAGCATGCATGTACCACACACCGTCCTGCATCCATGTTTCTGAACTACTTGCGTAGTCTGAGCTGCCCGTCCCCGAGAGACTTGGGAACCGCGACCGCGCCCACCACGCGTTGATGCCATGCGAGGAGGCTTGGCAGAGCCCTCTAGTGAAGAACTCGGAATTGTCTGAACATGTCAACTTGAGACAGCAAGAGTGGAAATCCGCAGCACGGAGGCCACAGTCAACAATGCACCCTGCACGATGGCGCACCCCAAGATAAGTGACAACATGAAACAGCATGAAACAGCATGGAACAGCATGAAACAGCAGCGCAAGCTTTTTTTT